AGGCTCAGTAATCCAGGTACACAATCCAACAGGTTTCCCAGGCTCAGTAATCCAGGTACACAATCCAACATGTTTCAGTCAGCTCATCTGGACAGTTTCTTTTTTAGTGCTGAAACGTTCCACCTTCGATCCAGAAGACTTCATCAGTCAAAGAAACAACACGGATCGAAGGCGAAACGCTTCATATGAGCTGACTGAAAGATGTACCGGTAATAATGTTTTTTATTTAACACCAGACAGGAGCAACAGAAAACTGATAAAAAACACGTGGTAGAAACACCTGGAAGAACATTTAGTCATTTATTAGGTTAACAGGTGAATGAGAAGACTAAAGCTCATTATGTGGCGTTTTAATGGTTTTAATCATTCATATACCGAATCAGCTCAACACAAGTGTTTTGACTTTAGTACTTGTAACTTTGATACATTTGGAATTTATTTGAATAATTTGGAACAACCTCATTTACAAAAACACCCATAGAAATAACGTTTTAGCCTTTAGTCATGGTTTTGCCATTTCCACCCCACAATGTTATCTTTCAGTCACAGTTTGGACCAGTTTAGCCATGGTTTGGTTGTGGTGTTCTCTACTATTTTAAAATGTTTTTCTAATTTCAACTTCGAGTTACACTTTTACTAATTTGAGTCTTGAGCTCTCTTCTGTATTTAATTTGTTCGGCTTGATTTTAACAGTCCAGTAAACACTGAAGTCTTGAAACCATTCCAGCAGAACTGCTGTTTCTTCACTTCCAGCTGGTTTAGCTTCATGATGTTTTTTAAAGTGTGAAAGATTCAAAACTGGTTCCACACACAACGGGGGAACTATCCCATTTGGGCAGGGAGGACACTAGTTTCAGGCTGCTCCAATCTGTTTCATGTTCGTTATTGACAGGCACCATGTTTCACCAGTTGGCCCAGTAACAACATGCGTTCACCAGCCACCTCAGTGATGACCCTTGGTCTTCACAACTAAGAGATTTTGGTCCATGTTGACTTGATAGCATCACACCGTTGTCAGCTGCACATCACTGATGTCATTGTCTAGGTCCAGCACATCCCAAAGGTTCTCCATGGAACACGGTGAGATGCAGCGAGTGTGGACGCTGCTGGGAGCTCAGTGAAGACGTGTGGAAGCTGTGGCCTCGCTGTCCCTGACAGGAGCGGCTCTGCGCGCTGTCCTGTCTACACGTTGGACGTGTTGTGCTCAGACGTTCTGCAACTCTTTGTAACGAGTGGCACCTGGAGCTACTGTTGCCTTTCTGTCATCTCAAACCAGCAGCCAGTTGTCTTCTATCATCTCAAACCAGCAGCCAGTTGTCTTCTGACATCTCAAACCAGCAGCCAGTTGTCTTCTGACATCTCAAACCAGCAGCCAGTTGTCTTCTATCATCTCAAACCAGCAGCCAGTTGTCTTCTATCATCTCAAACCAGCAGCCAGTTGTCTTCTATCATCTCAAACCAGCAGCCAGTTGTCTTCTGACATCTCAAACCAGCAGCCAGTTGTCTTCTATCATCTCAAACCAGCAGCCAGTTGTCTTCTATCATCTCAAACCAGCAGCCAGTTGTCTTCTGACAGCAACGCCTTGCTGCTCTCACAAATGCTGCTCCCTGGATAATGTTCTGTTGTACGGACAGCTCCCTGTAAACCCTGCAGATGTCTGAAGTACTCATCCAGTGTGGCACCAACAACCACACATTCATTTCAATCCCTTCTCTGATGCTGTTTGAACTTCACACATCGTCTTCACTACTTCCACACGTGGAGCAGCGCTGGCCTGTGATTGGCTGATTAGCTGTAAGCAAGTGGCCGGTGAGTGTGTGACCGACTTCTGTCACTGATAATCACTTATAATGTCTCCAGGACATTGGACTTTACTTTACGTAGGAGATTACTATACTTTGACAAAGTTTTGATGTTGGATCATAATCTTAATGAATTTAATTCAGAATTATTTGTACAAAAAGCTTCAGTCTGACATCTAGTTATGGTCCTTCATCCACTGTTCAGTCCATTGAATGATTTGCTCCAGGTTCTGCTCCAGGTCCTCGGGTGTGTTGTTCTGTAACTGGTGGACTATCTCGTGCTGGTACGCCTCCATGGCCTCTTCATAGATGATCTGGAAGATTTCACACTGCACGTTGTCCTGCAGCTTTTTCCCAGTGTAACCTCTGAAAGTGCCACAGAACACAAGAACAAAGTGTTGGTGAACACAGCCAGAGAAGCAAACAGAAGAAAACATCACGCTCCGGGAACACGTTCTCTCAAATGTTTTATTTTGTGAAACAAATAAAGTCACAGACGTGTAACAAAATGATTCCAAACTTCTGGCATTAGGAACAATAGAAAGTTCCTCCTGTTATGTTCGTCAGGACCAGCAACGTGTTCCCGGGTCACTCTGACCCCGTGCATGTTTAACTATCCAAAACGTGTGAAACAAATAAATCCTAACAAGCACTGAGAATATTTCATTACTAACTATTCTATCAATATTTAGTTTGTACCTCCAACAGGTTCAATGAAGATAATTCACTCGTTTTTCTTTAAAAAATACATGTTCAAGCTTTTTTTAATGTTTCACTACTTTATTACTTTTCAAAGACCAACATTTAAAACACAGTAGTTTTACATAACATTGAAACAAAACATTGCAGTTTTGTTTCACATACATTCACTGTGAGCAAGAAATGAACAAAGTGCTATACAACAAGCAATATGAACGTGTGTGTCCATGTACACTGCACACGACTGACATGTCATCACTGTGCTGTGTTAAATTCATGGTGCACATTTCACACAGGTCATGCTCGTCTCGACATCAGATGGCCTGCAGACCTCTTCCTCTTCCCCTCAGCAGCAATTAGAAACAAGAGGACCACGGTTACTTTACTGTGGTGTCTTTTTACTGATACCAAGACACACACAACACACACCCTGACTTAATTACCTCATGCACTGGTGTAGTAGTTGGTGCAGTCCTCTCCTGGATCTCCCTCACCATGGCTGCAGCAGCTGAGGTCTTTGGCAGGTGTTGCCTCCGTTGGATGTGCAGTGTCACAAGCACCTTCCCCAGCTGCTCAAGAAAAACACGTTGTCCTGTTCTTGATTACCAGCAGGGAGTCCAGTCCTGTTCTTGATTACCAGCAGGGAGTCCAGTCCTGGTCTTGATTACCAGCAG